TCTGGGGACATGTTTCCTTTAGTGTCTCCTAATAATTAAAAGCTCTTCCACCTTCTCCAACATCTGTTTGAGAACATTAGGAAACATATTGTACCATGAATAGCAAGGAACAGACCAGACAGGTCAGGGAGAATGTTTTGGAGAAGGAAATCTACAAAGACATGGTAGTTTGCAGCTTAACTGCAGAGATCCACCACTCAGGTAGACTCACATGGTCAAACATGACGACGGCAGTATCATGCTTTAGAGATGTTTTTGTGTAGCAAAGAAAGAGAAGTCGAAGTTGAAGAAAAGCTTTGAGGCATTTAATACACAAAAAAACTACAGGCATTATAGGAGCCTATAAAAGGTTTCACAGGACTTCATACTCCATCCTGCAGGACAACAAGAATCAACACCCAAAGCGACAGTGGGAGATTTTAGGTCACACAATACTCCTGTTTTGGAATGGTCTAGTAAAGTTCTGACATTTGGCCAACTGGACAAAAATTATGCAGGGGTTTTTCGGTCTGTTAGATAACAATGCATTACTATATTTTGACCAAAATGCAGATAGGTTTGTGGTTTTGGTGTGATAAAATGGGAGAAAGTTTAGGATGCCTGAATACTTTAAGAAGGCATAGAATTATAAGTGGGAGTCATATAATGTGGACTATGGGAAAGAGAGCCAAATAAGATAAGAATGCTTGGTGTGAGGAATTGCAGACTAGGCTTCTTTCTTCCTCCTTGTATCTTTGTGTTTTTGGACTCATTCCCAGTTTCACTTCAGTTTATTTTTCCAATCTGCTCCAATTATTATTTCTCTCCCTTTCTGTCACTCTTTCTGCCATCCAGATGGAGTGTTTTCCTCTATGCTCCTACCCAAATAAATGGCTAGGGCCCATTTTCCCTTTATTGTTTATTTTTAATAGTTTGGGTAAAAAGCTTTAGGTAAATTGTTGTTTCTGTTCATATCCTCAAGTGCAAGTTTTATTGATTTTTGCTCCAAATGACTCCCCGGTTGCTCAGTCATTTGTATGGAGGATAAGACTAATATGATTTATTTCTCACCAGACTTGAAGAAACTTCTTAAACTTTATCTCATGACAGTTCTGAATTAAAGCCAAAACATCATAGCAGTTCAGTTCTTCACAACAGAAACAATTTATTTTTGTTGCCTCCATAAATCCAGACACTTATTTTCATAAATGTTTTTCACTTTGGCTACATGCTTACTCCAGACAGATGTCTAAGGTGGAAATCCAGACTAATGCTAATGTCAACTAACAGTGATTGGTGGCTAAATTCAGCTTCAAAGACAGATAAACAATTGGAATGGAGATGCTTCAGATCAATGTAGTCAGGGTCATTTGTGTCGGGGACAGATTTATTTAGGATGGCCTAAGCAATGACATGTTAAAGGTGCTGCTAAGCCATTTAGTTAAATTTATACAACGTTGTTATTACCAAACATGTGACTGGCATTCCAGCTGAAATAATTACAGCAGGGACAACGTGTTTCCATAGTCTTGTGTATGCATATTTTCTTTGCATGTGGCTGTTTTTACAGTGCATTTAAAAAGTATCCATATTTTACAAACTATTTTACATTGTCTTAAGTTGTAACTTTAAAACCCATAAAGAAAATCAAGCAACTTCTTTTTTACACTCTTTTCAAATAACAGTCTTGCAGCTTCCTTAACTTTAAAATGCAAAAATAATATTAAGAACATTCAACTTCATTGAAAAGCAAAGCAAGGCAGGTTTATTCATAAAGCACATTTCAGTGGCAAGACAATTCAAAGTGCTGTTCATAAAAAAAGAAAAGTACATTTGGGTGGCATAAATGCAACACAGGTAATAAAAAAAAAAATTGAAATACATAATTAAAATAAGACAATTTTATTTAAAAAGATAGTGATTGATAAAAAAAAAAAAAAGTGAAAGGAATGTTGGACTGAAAACTTAAGTAATTATGATTACACAACAAAGACCATACCAAACAAGTATGTTTTTTCATCCCAATTTCAGGTTCCAGTGACCTGAGATGTCTGAGCAGTTGTTAAACTGACAGTTTTGTAATGCATTTTGGTGCTAAACCATTCAGAGATTTATAGACTTACAAAAGTTTCTTAAACAGGGATTTAGTCTCTGTCTTATATAGAATTCCTTCTATGATGATCTGTTTGTGACAGAATATCAGCAAAGAAACATCATCATAAAGACTGAGCAACACAAAGGATATGTCAGGGACAAAGTTATGGGACATTTAAAGCAGCTGGTAAGATTTTGAAGAGATCCAAATATTTTAAAATCTTTGTAAACTCTTCAATCCATGATCCCATAAAGGAAAAGTACAGTATTTCACAACTGCAGACCTACTGATAAATGTCCACCTGACTGTCAAGCTGCTCAAGAAGAGCATTACTTACAGAAGCAGCTAATAGAGCTATGGTAACTTTGGGTGAGCAGCGAAGATTCACAGCTTAGACCAGAGAATCTGTAAAAAGGTAACCTATTAGTCATATACTTATCTTTCCTTTTTAGAAGAGATTCACTGGTTAGAGAGAGCTACAAGTGCAATTTCCAGTTTGTAACAAGCCTTCAAGCAGACCCATCTAAGTGCTGCGTTTTTGTCAGATGAGACCAAAACTTACCCTTTTGGCCTAAATTCAAAATGCTGCATGTGCAGGAGAGAAAAACTGTTCAGTACCCCAACATAAAATCACCACTGTGACACACTGGTGATGGAAGGCCACAGTGGCGTCATGCTCTGAGAAACTTTTTCTATATTAAATACAGAGAAAACTGGTCCCAGTTGATGCAGAGATTGATGCAGTTAATAAAGAAATATCCTGGAACAAATTGTTTTAATAGGTAGAAGACTTCAGACTGAAGGTTACCTGCAAACTATAGACCTATAGCCAACCATTCAGATTACAGGTGCTGGTCATAAAATTAGAATATCATGAAAAAGTAGATTGATTTCAGTAATTCCATTTAAAAAGTGAAACTTGTATATTATATTCATACATTACATACAAACTCATATATTTCAGATGTTTATTTGGTTTAATTTTGATGATTACAAATGACAACAAATGAAAATCTCAAATTCATCATATCAGAAAATTAGAATATTGTGAAAAGGTTCAAAATTGATGGCCCCTGGTGCCACACTCTAATCAGCTAATTAACTCAAACCACCTGCAAAAGCCTTTAAATGGTCTTTCAGTCTAGTTCTATAGGCTACACAATCATGGGGAAGACTGCTGACTTGACAGTTGTCCAAAAGACGACCATCGACACCTTGCACAAGGAGGGCAAGACACAAAAGGTCATCGCTAAAGAGGCTGGCTGTTCACAGAGCTCAGTGTCCAAGCACATTAATAGAGAGGCGAAGGGAAGGAAAAGATGTGGTCGAAAAAAGTGTACAAGCAAGAGAGATAACCGCACCCTGGAGAGGATTGTGAAACAAAACCCATTCAAAAATGTGGGGAAGATTCACAAAGAGTGGACTGCAGCTGGAGTGAGTGCTTCAAGAACCACCACACACAGACGTATGAAAGACATGGGTTTCTGCTGTCGCATTCCTTGTGTCAAGCCACTCTTGAACCACAGACAGCGTCAGAAGCGTCTTGCCTGGGCTAAAGAGAAACAGGACTGGACTGCTGGTGAGTGGTCCAAAGTCATGTTCTCTGATGAAAGTAAATTTTGCATTTCCTTTGGAAATCAAGGTCCCAGAGTCTGGAGGAAAAGAAGAGAGGCACTTCATCCACGTTGCTTGAAGTCCAGTGTAAAGTTTCCACAGTCAGTGATGGTTTGGGGTGCCATGTCATCTGCTGGTGTTGGTCCATTGTGTTTTCTGAGGTCCAGGGTCAACGCAGCCAAATACCAGGAAGTTTTAGAGCACTTCATGCTTCCTGCAGCTGACCAACTTTTTGGAGATGCAGATTTCATTTTCCAACAGGACTTGGCACCTGCACACAGTGCCAAAGCTACCAGTACCTGGTTGAAGGACCATGGTATCCCTGTTCTTAATTGGCCAGCAAACTCTCCTGACCTTAACCCCATAGAAAATCTATGGGGTATTGTGAAGAAGAAGATGCAATACACCAGACCCAACAATTCAGAAGAGCTAAAAGCCACTATTAGAGCAACCTGGGCTATCATAACACCTGAGCAGTGCCATAGACTGATCGACTCCATGCCACGCCGCATTGCTGCAGTAATACAGGCCAAAGGAGACCCAACTAAATACTGAGTGCTGTACATGCTCATACTTTTCATGTTCATACTTTTCAGTTGGCCAACATTTCTATAAATCCTTTGTTTTTATTGGTCTTCAGTAATATTCTAATTTTCTGATATGATGAATTTGAGATTTTAATTTGTTGTCATTTGTAATCATCAAAATTAAACAAAATAAACATCTGAAATATATGAGTTTGTATGTAATGTATGAATATAATATACAAGTTTCACTTTTTAAATGGAATTACTGAAATCAATCTACTTTTTCATGATATTCTAATTTTATGACCAGCACCTGTAATTTATTAGATCAGAGCATATTTATTTTTTTTAAATAATGTTTCAAACTCCAGACCTAAATCCAAATAGCTCTTTGTTGGAATTGAAAATTAGAGATACTTTTGCAAAATAAGTTTGCAACCATATCCTTTCTACTTGATAATTATGGACTACTTTGTGTTTTTAAAATCAAACTAAAATAAAAAAAAAAAACACAATAAAACACCAAGGGAGGGGTAACTCATGATATATTTAGCAAGGAATTGTAAGTTTAAAGTTTAGTTTCTTAACATGGCAAATTCTAGCTTATTTTCTCAATTCCTGCTTCAACCGTTAAAAAGGTAATATGTTAATTAGTTTTCTCACAAGTTATTGGACGCCCAACCTATTGACTCACGGCTCTTGAATATTTGTTGTTTGGAGAATTTAACTGTATCTTATATATTTTCTACTCTGTTTTTCCTCTCTTATGTCATGTCCTCTCCTAGATGGACCCAGTCCAGAAGGCTGTAATAAACCACACCTTCGGAGTGCCTCTCGTCAAGACAAAGCGGCCGGTCATCTCCTGCAATGTCTGTCAGATCCGCTTCAACTCAGAGGTAGAAGAACCATCATAAGATACTATCATACAAAGCATCCTTATACCAGTTGTATCCCAAGTATATCACTGTCTATGTTTTTTTTTTTACAAATAGTAAGGTTAACACTAGAACTTCTACGGAGGGGTCAATTTACCTTTTTACCTAAAAGCCCTACAAGAGGGTCATTTGACCCTTTGGACCTCCTGCGGACACTCCTTTTGTTGTGGAAATGTGGCTGTTAGCAGCTCATAGCTGTCACTTGAGTCACAGAGTCGCTTGAGCCTGTGTGGGGAAGCTACACAGGTTCAACTGAAAGCTTGGCCAAGGCAAGCTTTTAGTATAGTTTTTAGTGGATTTTTATGCAGCGAATCATCAGGATCAACGAGAATTTGGGATCAAAACTCTAAACATTTATTTAAAAAAAAATACAAAACAAAACATATTTACAATGAATGCAAAAGCAACTGTTTTCCCAGTTTTCGTGTGGAAGGTTGTGGCACAAGTAACTTATTTTTGTGTGCCAAAAATAGAAGAAAAAGAAATTACAAAGAAAAAAAGCATATTTACAAAGAATGCAAATGAGTGAAATACATTTGAGCAGTCACTAACAATTCTGGCACTGCCATTGCTCCTTTCGGCATTTCCCACATGTGTATTTGTAACACTTTTCACTGCGCACTGTTGCACGATTGTCCTTGCATTTGATTTTAGCCTGACACTTGGCTCTTTGTCCGAGTTGTGGTGTGGAGGGTTGTTGCCGAAGCAATTGCTCCCTTTGGGCCTTTTTCATACCCACGTGGGAGTGAGCCAACTCAACCATACAAATGAGTACAGCGTCCAAAGTAATGGAAGATCTGTGAACGCCACAATCAAGGAAATACAGAAAATGTTGGGCATGTACCTGAGGATGGGCTTGGTCCAAATGGCTGGAACCCGTATGTATTGGGAGACAGATACGCGGAACTCCCCAGTTGCTGATGTGATGCCCCACAACAGATTCCAATCACTTTTGACAACATTACATTTTATGAACAATTCAACAGTGTCAGAGACTGAAAAGAGGGACAAGGGGGACTCTGGAAAAATTCAGACAATGGCTTGAGCTTTCAATCATTGCACTATGGAACTATTGATTACACTATGGAAATACTGACTTGAAATATGTCTCATTTCTTTCACTTCTATATCTCTATATTATATCATAAATGTATCTGTCAACACTCTTTCCTGGTCATGTTAATCTTGTCTGCCTCAACTGACCTAGTATGTTTTTTTGCACATTTTTTTGCAACTCATAGAATGTTCTTTGCACAATTATCTTTATTACTCTTACTTGTACATAACCATTTGCAAGGATGTAGTAAATGATTGAGACATGTACAAAAGCATTTGAAATTTGATGAAAGTTATGATAAATGCCATTCTGTTGTGAGGAACTGCAAATTAGTTTTGGGATTTGTCCATGTTTTGAGAATGACATCTCAATTTCAAGAAATGAGCAAAACCAAGGGAGAAAAACTGTAACACACTGGGAAGAAGCTGTCTGTCCCTGTTTGTCTTGGCTGTTACCACTGTGAGGTGTGACCCCCTCACCCCTCACCCCACACACGGCCCATAACATCCTCATTACCATGACAAAATGAGTGATTAGTGTATTCGGGAAAAGCCGCCGGGTCAATTGACCCCTCTCTAGTAGCTCTAGGTAGGCAGAAAAATCCTGGTATTTCTAGTGTTAAGGAGCATGTAAGGTTTTACACATTAGGACATGAAAAGTCACAGTCCTTACCTAGTCTTTATCAGCTAATGTGCATAAAATATACATTTTAAAGCAGAACTATTCATGCCTTTGATTGATTTTTATATAATATGCTTTTCATTTAACCAATTAGTATGTTTCTAATAATAGATTAATTAGAACTCTATCAACAGTTATTAAAACTACTTAAATATAGCTATTTTACATTTATTTAACCTTTAAAAATGCATAAATCCATTAATACAAAACATTTTATAATGGCTTATAAGCTTATTACAAATTTCCAGCCTTTCCATTAATATTTTGTTCTTTTATGGCAATAACCAACAAGCCTTTGAGGTTTAATAGCCTCCTTTGCCATCACCCTAATCTATAGCTGCCTCCATAGGCTTTTAGTCAAGACTGGATTGGCTGCTGCATATTCTTGATATTATTTCCAGTCAGAAGACACTTGATGTTAGAAATTAATAGTTTTTTTAGATCCAGATTAAGATCCCCACTTACTCCAAATTAAAGGGAGACAGTTTACCCAGCCAAGCACATAGAACTTCAAGGATTGAAGTTAATACATGTGAAGATAGAACTGCAATTTAACAAAAAAACTGTTTTTGTAGACTCGGGGATGACACATAGTAATATGCCTCATATTGCTTTGAGAATGAATTTATACCTCTTAGTGTCATTGAAATATAGCTATATTTCTAAGCTTTTCCTTTCCTCACACAGTCTCCTTTTGTCTTCCTAAAAAACAGGAGGTAGATTAAAGGATGTTATGCATTTCTCTGGTTCTTATTTTGGCTCACTTGACCCTAGTGGAATTTATCTTAAGACAGCCTGGAGTTAGCAGAAGCAGAAGCAACAATCGCCAAAGCTTTAAGCAGTACAGCATAAACAACAGAAGTTTGACTGAGACCTAAAACATGTTGAGAACAGTTTAGATAAACATAATAAACCTTAAACCGTCATCACCAACTCATATATACGACATTCTGATGAATGAAGCCAAAAATGGAAGTCTGGCCTGAATATTGATTTCAAACTCAATGTGTTCTCTTTCCTTTTTTATGTTGATAATGAGGGTCAGTGCATAATAACATCATTGCAAAATATCATGTGCATAATGTATAATTTGGGTGTGATTCTACTTATTCTGTGGTGTAGAATTGAGGGCTGTGTTGTACAGCCATGCAAAGTACACAACATTAAGGAATGGACCGCTGCTATATATACACTGCACATCTACAATCATGGTTTCCATGTGGTCAGGGAGCAGCAGGACTGTAATCTTCTCTATGTAGGCTTCTCTTTGCATCCTCCCATGCAACAGGAAGCAGTCAGACATGTTTACATATGAAATACTGTAAGATCCACTGCTGGAAGGCATGCCCTTTTAGTTTAGAAGCCATGATAGGTGTTGCTTTGAATATATATATAATAAAAAAATAACTTTTTAACTTAACTTTGGTTAAGTTCTTTTTGACGATGAACAGTAAGCAGATAATAACAGTTATATTTTTAGAAAGCTCTTAGTGTTTTTTAGTATGTTTAAGACAATGAATGGTTGTTTTGCACCTAAATGCATTTATTTATTTTGTATGTAATAAAATAACTTTTGATCAGTCATATAATTTCCTGTGAACACACACACACGGCTGTGGTATCAGGACAACAGATAAAGTGTGAATTTGATCACTATGACATTTGCCGAACAGGAAACTAAACACATCTGGAATAACATCACTACTATCAATTGAAAATATGGACATTCATTTAAAGGTATTCATCCCCAGAATAAAGAGTATTGACCAAAATAGTGAAAGTCATCTAAGCTAAGAAGGCACCATGTACACATTGAAAAGAAAAGGACCAAAGAAAATGGTTGAAAAACATTGCCAGTAGAAATGCAATCATGTCACAGCTCAGTATGGATTTCATGTTGGAGAACCAAAGTTTATTAAAAAAAAAATTGGTATGAGATAAAAATGTTGCAAGGTCTCTGTGCTAAATGTGCTATCATAGAACGCATGCAGGCTCCTTTCCTTTCTTTTTCTCCCTCCTTTCTGCCAGTGCTATTCGCACAGCACTTTATAAATGCGACTGCCAATGTACTTCTGCTTTCATTTAAAGTCCTTACCAATTTACTGTGCAGATTGGGCCTTAATAACGCTAGGGGATGCATATAATCGATGCATGGGCGAAAGTGTTTAAGAGTGTTTCCGGGTTAATCATTGGCCAATAAACTGGTAGTTTATTAGCCACTGATTGGTAATTTAATTTCATAAAAGTATCATCAATCACTGTTAATAGTACCAATAATGTGTAAGATTGCTAGTATGGAGCTGCTGGGCAATTGTGGATAACATATGTGAGTTTATTAGACTCTTCTAGCTTCATAAGCTAGTGCCACGAAATCTACCAATTACAGAGCAATTGGAACGAATCATGGATGAACTCTGTTAAAAAAAAAGCCTAACATACACTAGAAAACTCACCTTAGAGGAACATTCACCTGTATTTCAACAGCAGATCAGTAGATGAGGAAACACATAAATATTGATGTCAGATTGGTTTTTCTGCCTTTATTGAAATAAAGCTTATCAACTATATAAATAACCTTTAAATAAATAAATAGATAAGCATATAACAGCTGCTGAAAACAACTTCCCCTATTTTTACTTGTTAAAAAAAAAAATGGAGCATTCTAATCATCAGGAAACTTTTGCCAGGCTGATTGTATTGATAAGCAGTTTGTAGCATGACAGGGCAGCCTGCTGTATTCTCTTCAGAAACCCCCCCCCCCCCCTCAAACTGAAAGTGGCAACTATCATGGAAGGAGCAGGAAAAAGTTCTACTTTGTCTTTGTTTGTTCTCTGGTTCCTGTCTCTCCTGCAAAACTCAGAGTAAGAAAGATGCAGACAGTCTGGTGTGGTTGCAATTTTCTGTGGCAGTTGGTTGTGATTTTTCCCCCCAGTTTGGATCAGTTCATAAATGTGGTTTGTCTATTTATTTATTTTTTTGTTTTGTTTTCCTTTGTTGGTTAAACAGTTAAACAGGTTGCTAAGGGAAATACTTTTTTTAAAACAAAATCCAGGTTTGTCTCAATCTCTCCCTCCTCCCCACCCCTTGCCCCCAGCGCCAACATTGGTAGCACCTGCTCCTTTCTCAATTTTTTTCCCATTCCTGTCTTAACAACCTTCTCCTCTTGCTTTCTAATATCCTTGCTCTCTCATGCTGCATTATTTACAGTGTGGGGATTCCTAAA